TTAATCACACAATACGCTATTTCTTCCATGTTTTAATTTTAATAGTAAACCCTTTGCCAAAAAATAAAGTTTAACTCTCATTTGATTAAAAGATAAATTAATCTGATTTATGCCTTCATTTGCACTGTATTGTAAATTAAAACTAACTGAAATTTCTAGTGTCACATAGGCCAAGACATTTCAATAGGCTAGTATTTTTTTTTAGGAGTCGTGGTAGTAGAGGCAGCGCAACTATAACGACATGTGAATAATCCCGCCCACTCTAAAGCAGTACTGAACTGCAGTGGAAACGCAAACCGTGCCGAGCCGAACCGTGCCGTACTGAGCCGTGCCGAGCCGAGTCGTACCACGCAGTGGAAAAGCGCCATAAGTGTGCCTGTAGTTTCATGAAAATAGCTGCAGTCTTCTTAACAACTTCTACAATATAGCTATGAAGACAATTAAATTATTTACACATTATATAAATTTTTTAAAAAGTCAATCCATTGATGTGCATTAGATGATGAATTGAATAGTCACCTCTACTATTGTAGGTTATGTTTTAGTCATCAGAAAATAATTGAGGAATTATGAGAGGTTATGCTATTACACATACACTTCTAACATGTAAATTATTGAAGCCAAATTCTTACATTTCCCCAAGCTGTTTTAGCTGTAGTACAGTATTCATAGGTTTAATCATGAAGCATACAGTGGCCCCACTTTTAACTCTCTTTATATTACCCTAAAGGCAGTTTTTGTCAGAGCCATTGTTATTCTTAATTTTGACATTAATTTTCATTTTTACACCAGACATATATATATCGGTTCAAAATATCGGTTATCGGACTACTTGATCTGTAATAATCGGTATCGGCCCTGAAAAACACTTATCGGTCGACCCCTACTTAAAAATTTTAATAACTCATCATTAGTGAAGAGTAAACGGCAGGGACAGAGTAACACGGGTCAGTAATAGGCAAGAACCTGTACACTTGCACCCAAAACCACTAAATACAAAGCCCTGTGACTCTTGTTGTTGTTGTTACCTTCACAAACCCACCGCATACCGATCCGTCTAGACACGATTTTACATATTATCAACACAAAGATTCATCCAGCAGCCACACGTCCAGAGAAAAGCCTA